GGGAGGACTGCCGGAAGGAAGGGGACTGCGGGGAGGCCCAGCAAGCCCATGAACACGCCGGCCCAGAGGCTGAGTGCACAGCGGGCAGCCACCCGGGGCACTCCTCTTTTCCGGGCTTTGTTCAGGCAGGGAGGGAGGAATCTGGAAGCCTGTTCGGGAGGTGGTCAGCAGCCCTTCCCAGCGTGGCAGTGACTGTCTTGGTTGATGACCCAGTTAGCGCCAGAGTGCTCCTCCGAGTCCCGGACACGGTCTGCCCCTCTCTGAACTGGCTCTCCGCTGGCGACCTGGGCTAGCGGGGCCTGTGGGCGGCCATCCTTCCTGCGGGCTGGACCCAGGCACTAAAGACATCAGCGTCCAGCCTCAGGACATACTCGTGCATGTCCAGGCTCCGGCCACACCCGCCTCCGCCAGCCGGCTCAGGGCAGCCAGGCTCAGCCCGCTGTATCCGGCCCCCGCGGCCTGCCTAGCTGTCCCCTCAGCAGATCCTGGCAGGGAGGCCCCTGGAGGTGCCTCGGGCAGCAGCCTGGCCCTCTGCCGAGACGCACCTTTTCTGCAGCTGTCTGGAGTGACATGGACACCTGGTCTCGCTGGGTCCTCCCTCCTCAGAGGACAACTCAGCCAGTGCCAGGTCTTTCACTGGTCTTTCACCTGTGCTCCCCGCTGGGCTGTCCCGGGGCGTCTGCCTGGAAATGCCGCGTGCACCTGCCTCTAGGCCCGGAACCCTAAGCCAGATCTGCGGTCGCTGTCCTGCTAACTACTGTCCTGTCCTCAGAACCTGCCGGTAGGCCCAGGTGGAGACACCCTACCTGCGGAAAGGCTGGCTTCTTTACCGCTTACCACACCCATGAAGAACGGTCTTTACTCCTGGTTTCCTGACGAGGGAATGGAGCCTTTGAGAAGAAAAACCTCAGCAAGACCATGGAGGAGGAGATTTTGGATCCGGAGCTCCTGGCTCCACTCTCTCCTGAGTTCCTCCACCAGTGCTGGGTGGAGGCCAGCGGGTCGCTGCCAGGCTCAGCGGGCACCCATGGGCTGCGATCCCTAACTATTGTGCTGACCCTGCCCCCGACATTTATAGGGTCAAGGGTAGAGCCACATGGGTGGGAAGTCAGAGCAGTTGGCTTTTCCATGAGCTCTCACAGGCCTTTACAGTCCCTGTCCCGAGAGGGGAGGCCAAATTAGTATGCCCCCCATTAGCAGGTGGGGAAACCGAGGCACACGCTTAGGCCTATGCTCTCTGGAGCGGCCCTCTCTATCCTCACCAGAGCTGTGCCCTTGCACTCACTTTACTCTGTCTTCCCACTCGTAGGACGGGGATGGTCAAAACAGGCCGCAGGTGAGGACCGCTACGGCCTCCAGGCAGGTGCTGGGCGGGCGGAAGAGCACCCCGGGGCAGCACTGGCTCTTCCGACCTGCCGGTGCAGGGCTAGGTCTAAAATCATCTGAATCCCAGGCCCATACCCTTAGCCAGTCCGCAACCCTCTCAAGTAAACGCTGCTTCTAATCAGCCTACTTAAGCAGAGGAATAATTCTCAGCTGGGGACGACCCAGCTACTCCTGTTCCAGAGGGAGACCTGAGTGCTAGTCGCCAATCACGAAGCGAGGGGGGCGGGGGCTGGTGTCTGCTTGGGGACAAGAGGACCCAGGTCTGGCCCTCAGGGCCTGAGGCTGCCCCGTGTGCAGGGAGGTTTGGGTTCACACAGCTCCCCTCAGCACCTCCGCGCCTCAGCTCTGGCTTGGCCCACAGGCAGCCAGCCTCCCTCCCTGTGGCCACTGCTGTCGCCTGGGGCCAGTTCATGTAATTAGCTCAAGCCTGGCCGGGGACTCATCCCTCCAGCTGCAATGCAGGGAAATGAGCTATCATCTCACCCAGCAGTGGGAATGTGGCCTGGGCTGTGGAGGGGCTCTGACCGCCCCTGCCTGGGGGCCCCCAGGGATTCTCAGACCAGCGGTCCTCTGTAGTAACCTAGGACCTCAGACACACCCGCTGGGCACTCACTCTGGAATATGGTCCTCCGGCACAGCAGACTCCTTGAGGCCACGCCCACAGGCATCCCTCACAGGGAAGAGAGTCTCTCCTGTCTGCTCAAACCAGCAGGAGCACGGGCAGGCTTTTGGGGGGCAGGGTTTCTGCATCCCACTTGGAGCTATAGACTTTTCTCTTTTCCAAGTTAAGGGAGGTTCTCAACACCGGAATTACTGGTCCTCAGAATCTGCACCTTTTTCTAGAAAGCATCCCTGGGCTGGGAGTTCAAAGAATTGAGTTAAGTCTGGTCTGAGGAAGCAGAGTCAAGATTCCAGTAATCGTAGGTTTGCCTGGGTGTCACACACATGGGCTCAGCCTCAGTTGCGCTCAGCCTGTCTGCAGTGACTCTCCCCAGACAGTGTCTTCTAATAAGAAGCCTGGAGGAAGTGACAGGAGGACTTCCTGAGAACTCAGTGCTGGAAGTCACACAGCCAGGAAGGAGCAGAGCCAGACTGATCACCAGATGTGCCAAGGAGGAGCAGAGATTCTCAACAAGGACGCTGAAACAATTCAGCTCATACCACATCCAAAACTTAACTTGAAATAGATTATGCACCTGAATTTAAGAATTAAAACTACAGAACTCCTAGAAGAAAATTATAGGAGGGCCCTTCCTGGTGGCGCAATGGGTTAAAGCACAGTACTTTGAAGCTACTGGCGGCCGCTTCTGCATGAGTTCGATCCCAGGCCAGAGAGCTGACCCACAGGGCACAACAGGCCTTTTGTGTCCTGCCTATTGCTCCCCTCAGCAGTGTATTTCACTTGATCTGCCTGTTCTGCTCCCCACTCTGTCTCTGGTGAATCCTCTCACCACCCCACATCTCTGGCCTGTACCCCAGTTCTGTATGCACAAATAAATATTAAAAAAGAGAAAACTACAGGAGTAAATCATGACCATGGGTTACTCCAGGCCTCCTTAGACAACATGCCATCAAAAGCATGAGCAACAATAGAATACACACGACATAGTCATAACCATAACCTTCTGTCTCTGAAAGGACACCATCGAGAAAGCGAAAAGTTGCAATAAACACAAATGATATACCAGATCAGACACTTGAACTTGGACGAAGACAAAAACGCCAACCGAAAACAAACAACCCGAAGATAATTCTCTATCTTGGAGTGGTCAACTGAGTGGCCAATACGTACATGAAAAGATGCTCAACCCTCAACGTGCTTAACCATTAGAGAAATGCAAATTACAGCCACAGAGAGAGGACCTTCCTAAGGGACAGTTTCTTCATCTCTACTGTCCTCCTTGCTGGTACAGTGCAAGTCCACAAGGTGAAGACTCCGCCTTGGTCCCCACTGGGTTCCCAGCACTGGGCATGCGCTTGACACCTGTCAGGGCTTGACATGTGTGTTACAAGCTCTGTGCAAAACTGGGGAGGGTTCTCATGGGCACCGAGGTTGCTGTCAGGAGCATTGGCTCTGGTCTCGGGCAGACAGGAGGCATCCTGTTCAGGCACTCACATAGGTGAGCCTCTGAAATGACCTGAGCCTCCGCTCCCTGGTCAATAAAATGGGGGGGGGGGACAGTATGCCCTCAGAGGACTCCCACGAGACTTACTTGGACCCTCGGCACAGTCTGTACTTGGCCTTGATCATCAGCTACGGACTGAATGATCAGTGGCCTCGGGGGGTAGGGCCATTGGTGAAGGTGGCTGAGAACTGGGCAGAACCAGAAAAGCAACATCTCTGGGCTCCGTGGGGATGTCTGGCCCTCCCACACTTAATTGATTGTAACATCACACCCTGAACATGCTCCCCTGCATAACCTGCACCCCCAAGAAGAGCCTGTGCAAGCCTTGCGTGACTGTGTATAATGCGTTCCTGGGGCCCAGAACGCAACTTTCAAATTGGCTTACAATTTATCTGCAGCTCGGATAAAAACATTTTAATGACTGTGCGGCATGAACCCTCGGTGTCATCCCCGGGGCTCCCAAATGCCTCTCCCCACCACAGAGCGGGGATGTTATAGGCGTGAAATTACAGCCACTCTCGCATTTTGATCTCCACCCGGAGGCTTCTGGAAATAGCGTGTTAGAATGTACTGGAAGGAAGTGGAGCAGTGATGGCAGACTGGGGTGCAGGCTCCCCTATGAGCTGCTCTGTGATTCTGCTGCATGGGGGGGTTCTGGCTGCACCCACCAGCACACCCTCTCCCTTCTACTCTGGGACGTACCCCTTGCTCCCCAAATCAGACAGGGGATGCCTCATCGTTAAGGCCCCTTTTGGTCCCCTGCTCGTGAAGAGCCCCACTCACCTAGAGGGAGGGACTGGTGATGAAGAAAGGCCCGGGCAGAGCCACAGACAGGCCAGAGCAGTGAGCAGCTTTAATTTCTAAAACCCACCTCGAAATATATTTAAAGGGAAAGGTCACGAGGTCTTGGAGCTTGGTGGGGGGCGTGGCACCATCTTTAAATCTCGCTAATTGTGCCTGATGGTTAACAGATGAAATCAGCATTTGCCAGAGGAAGTAGTTAGCCGAGTCCTGGGCAGGGCTGGGATCTGCGCATTCTGTCCCGTGGCCTGTCTGGTGAGTGCCCCCAGCCCTGGCCAAGTCGCTTCCTCCCTGGGCCTGGTCTAGCAATGCACAGTGAGGCTCCTGCTTTGCAGGCGGATGTGGCTGCTGGGTCAAGGGTCCCCTACCGGAAAGCCCCTCTGTCTCTCCTGGGCCCCCACACCATTCTGGGCCTCACTGAGCCACCGGAAAGGCCCCAGCCCCAGGGGCCCAGAGCAAACCACTGGCCATGCCAGGGCAGGCTGGCCTCCTAGGCCCTCAGGGAGAACGGTAGGAAGAAAGAGGGTCCTCGGCCATCACAACGGGCATTTTGGGGGCGCTTCCCTGGACAGTGTCTCGGCGCACTGGGCACAGTACACGCACACACGGACACACACATGGACACTAACACGGACGGCATACTCGGCGGCACACTCCCCTCACCCTGCGCCTGGGGTCTGCACTCACCCATGACGTTGAGGAAGATGTTGCCCGATGCCAGGACCACCTTCTCCCTCGTGGCGCGGTCGTAGATGCCCACGTGGCACTCGTAGGGGCCGTTGTCTGAGATGCGGACCTCAGGCAGCCTGGGGAGGCAGGAGCAGGTGAGCGCCGTCGTCGGAGCTGAGCAGTGGTCCCCAAGGAAGCCCACCCAGAGCCAGCTGGCTCCTGCCCCGCGAGCCCACCCTGCCCTGTGTTGGGAGGGGCCAGCCCCGTGGACGCCTCTCTGAGCCGCTCTGCTCGAGTGGGCGGGGCCGGCCCCGTGGACGCAGCTGCGAGCCGCTCTGCTCGTGTGGGCGGGGCCAGTCCCGTGAACGCCTCTCTGAGCCGCTCTGCTCGCGTGGGCGGGGCCGGCCCCGTGGACGCCTCTCTGAGCCGCTCTGCTCGTGTGGGCGGGGCCAGCCCCGTGGACGCCTCTCTGAGCCGCTCTGCTAGCGTGGGCGGGGCCGGCCCCGTGGAC